GAAAAGAAGGAGGAGGAAAGGTGGTCAGAGTGTCCTAGAGCATGAAGCCAAGTTTAAAGCCTCAGGCTAAAATCCTGGAAATGGGTCAAGAGCTCATAAGGACACTGGATGCACCAAACCAAGAACACTCCAGTCCTCAACAGGTGAGAAAGTCAGGTGGGACTTTGCTACATGGTAGAGAATGTAGCAAAACAAGAGGGCAAAGGACAGAGCCCTAGAGGTCACCCTCGGGGAAGCTGGGACACCTGGAAGAGCAAAGGGATGGGGAAGAACGTGCAGCATCCTAGGAGGCAAAGCAGGCCAGGCCCTGGAGGAAATAGGGTCGGCAGTGCTGGAGCCGGAGTCAAGCTCTGGTGACCCTGGAGGGCAGCTTCCGCAGCTGTCCCACTCGCTCGGGCCACATGCTATAGGAGCCCACTCAGAACCAAGTAACACAAAGCCCCGTGCAGAGCAAGCCATCAACTAGGTGGCTGGAGAACAATAGGGCCCCCCCAGAGCTCTGCCGTGTCACACTGCCCTTTCTGTACAGGTGACACCAGCAAAAAGAGCCAGCAGAGATAAATGCTGAACCCGCGGGCCAATTGGGACAGTCCTATTGTGTCCAGCCAATGACCAGAAAAGGGGGRGGGGAGGACATTTCTTCAGCATGACTCACTATACAAGGCTCACTCATTCTCATCGTCTTGAGTCCACTGTGCCTCAAGTCCGAGAAGGGGGATGTGGACATAGAAGAGATCCCGTCCCTGCCCTCAGGCAGCTTACAATACAGTTGGACGGATTTCCATCCCATGGGAATATCCCCCCATCAAAACTCCTCATCCGCAATGCCCGGTGAAATCACCACTGGCGCTTTTTCAAAATGACCTGAGTGTAACAATCATTTCCATGCTTCCCTGGAGATGGTTAAATTCAAACTGCAYGATTAAAGAGGGATGTGGCTCAAGTGCCCAGCATGTGCAAGGCGCTGGGTTCAATTCTCCAACATGGCCAAACATAAATAATCTGATAAAGATTCTAGGCTCTCCCAGGCCCGCGTTGCCTCCCTAACAGCAAGGTGCCGCAGCAACCCTTCCCTTAGGAGCCACCGTCACTGCGCCACTCCTGCTTCTCCAGCCTCCACCCCCAAACCTAGCAACTTCTACTTCTGTGTTTCCACCTGTCAGTGACATTCTACTTGAGCCACCTTCACTGCCCTCAAACTCATTCTGAAGTCATACTTACCATAAGACATCTCTAAAACTGTCACCCTCTTCAAACATCGCTATCCCTGTCCATGACACCCTCCTTTCATCATCCCTCGGATGCGTCTCCTGCATTGTTCAACTGTCAAGTTCTGGGCAAAGCAGAGTCATGTGCACATGGTGGGTGTTCAATGTTTGCTTGCAGATTGAATGTGTATGTTCCGGTAGCCTCACGGTCTACTACCAACTGTGGCTACAGCCCTGGTGGTCGAAAGGATGGCTTTGGGAACAGGTGGGTCAGAAATCCAATAACCCAAAATTGAGTATCAAAGACCACAGACTAGTAACAGGTGTGTAGCATACGATGCCTGAGGCCCCTGTCACTTTCACCAGAGCCTGCTGCTCCTTTCCCCAAGCAGCCCCAGGATGTGGCCAGTGCCACAGGGAGCCAAAGTGGGCACTCCCAGGGACTGGTGGGCCACAAGATGGGCAGCCCTTAACTAATGATTGGCAGAYGTGATGAGACTACTCCCTGACCCTAATGGGGTAGCTCTGATGTGAAACCCACAGAGCCCCACACCCACCTGGGCTGAAGGCCTCACTTGGCATCTTCCCCGTCCCTGTCCATCTTCCTTAGAAAAACCTCACCATCACCACCAAAAAAAAAAAAAAAAAATTCTTCCACACCAGGCYGCTCACCTCTTGCCCTGCCCCTGGAGAGCAGGGTTGGGGGAGCGCAGTCTAAGGCAAGGTGGATGAGGCTCCTGCCCACGCCTGTCTGACCATGCTGTGCTTGAGATGTTTTTGCAATCACTCTGCTCCGCTCTTTGTTAATGTTACCGTCATTTAAAAAGTCAAATGACCATTGTCGTTCCAGGAACCTTGGAGACAAATCCATTCAAAACACTCTCCGCAGGCTTATTTCTTCTTCTTACTATAATTATATTGTCTCTGAAGTGAAAGAGCTTTGAACATCATAGCGAAATAAAATAATGGACTCAAAGGGAGAAAAAGGGATTTTTTGAACTTGTCTTTATAATTGTCCTTTACCTGGGTTGATAATTAAATAGAAACTAAAATGAATTTGACCAGTTTAATGTTCTCTCTCTTCAACGTTTTTATAATACAAATCATACGATGACATTAGAGAAATCTGAAATCCGGGGTGGGGAAACATCTCAATACTCTAACCATTTACAAACTATTTTCTTGGTACTATGCCTCCCTGATCTCTGCCCTTTACAAACTACTTCCTTCCAGCTGTTCCCGCGGCGTTTCGCCCAGGCACCTCTTGCTCAAACACTTGGCTCTCTGGTGTATTTTCCTGCAGCCTGGACCGTTCTCCATGCTGTAACACAGTCCTCGTGGTTGTCAACATCAATGGCTGCACGTTGTCACATCGGGAGGATGTGCGATAGACTGTTACCATTTTGGTTGCTTTTGATATTTCACTATTTTAAATAAGACTGTGCTGAAGAGGCCACTTTGTTTTGCATCTATTCTTTCTCGATTTCAAGTATGTGTGTTTTGTTTTGTTTCTGGGCTGTGCTGGGGATGGAGCCATGGTCTTACAAGTGCTGGACAAGCACTTCACCGCTGAGTAACATCCCAGCCCCCAGATGATATCTTTAAGAGAATTTTCAAGATTTGAATTATCAGATAAAAGAATGCTTAAGCCTCTTTATGTATACTATGACATCTTCCCCCACCCCATCCCACCAAAATGCATACCAACTTACAACACAAGCCAGCTTGAAAACAAGATGATTCCAACTCAGGGTGGTTTCTCAGGTTTTAAAATGAGTTCTATCTAACTAAAGGAATTTGTTTGAAGTTTCTTCATTTAGTGCAAAGGGTACAAGTCCTCTCTAGCATGACACTTAGACTGTAACTTTCTTGAAAACCATAAGGAACCTGATTGTGACATTCCAGATCCTCAAGTACACACAGCTCTCTTCCTAATTCCAAATTTTCTAATTGCTGAGAATTTTATTTAGAAATTAGGGGACTTGAAGTGCTTAATTGATTCAGTTATTTTACTGGACAATAAATACAAAAATTCCAAAGGCTGTCATGTGCTCCTAGATTAGGTATGGGTTTCATGAGATTAGTATGGTGCTATGTGTTCTAAAGCACAGGATGAAAAAAATGTTGACAAGATAAGCAAGCAAGAGTGGATTCCTATTTTCTCAATTGCCCTAAAGTTGGCCTGAGTTTGTCGTAAGATTAAATTTTTCAAATTTTTGAACCATGGAAGCGGTATCCCAAATGGGATTCCCCAGGAAGGTTTGGACCCGTAGGAAAGACACACCTTGAGTGGCAACCATGGCATTGCTAGTTGTTTTGAAGCATGCTTAATTGTTCTGTCTTCTTCCATGCAACTGGAAAAGCACAAACAATAAATTTGACCTGGAATTATTTGGGTGCCCACTATTCTACATAGAACAGAACAGTACTCCAGCTCCCCCTCCCCCACCATCTGAGATTCTAGTGATAAAGTGAAAGACCCAACAGCCTCCCAGACACAGACCCCCTGGTGAGACCAGAGTCCTGTAGATAAATGTCCCATGGATTGGCTGAATTGCCTACTTTTGACTTTTCTTCCCTTAATCTAAAGAAGCTCATCTTCTGTTACACTTCACAACTCCAACAAGAACCAACTTGCATTTCATGAGAGAATTTTGTCATTGGGTTAAAGTAAAAAGCAAAACAAAAAAAGTCACTTTAGAATCTGTTTCTCAATGACTGTCACCCCACTGACTTTCTTTAACCACACCCAATGCTGGCCTCCAGCGGGGCACAGGAGGGGGTGATCACCTCCCAGCACCTCCCAGAGATTCTGCAGCTGATGGCCTTTCTGCATCTTGCCAGAACTTCCTGGGTTAGGATAACTCTGGGTAATCCTAAACAAGGCTCTATCCAAGCTACAACTTTGCGACCAAACAAGCCAGTTTTACAAGTCAAAGGAATTTAATTTGGTCTCACACTTGCAGTGAAATAAAACACAAAAGAAGAGAAAAGCTGGCAGCTTTGCTAATGAGCAACTAGCTTTCTGGACACACTGCCAACTTAGTCTAATTAAATAGCATTAGCAGTCTAATGACACACTTAAAGAGGAAAAGTTCAGACAGGATGCAGGGTTCTTGACAGCAGCAGGGCAAACCTCAAAGTCTCCTGCACAGGTGAGTCCCCAGAGACACAGCAAGGTACAGGGGAGCCAGGCTCTGCAAGTTTTCCTAGGGAAGAAGACCAGGCACAGAACCTAAAGAAGTCCAAGTGCAAGGAAACCTGAAATATTGCAGTTTTGAATGTATTAATTCTTATTCCTGAAAAACTAACAAAAATTTTGGTAAAGTGACTTCACCTTCACTTCCTCTCTTACCACCAGCCCCTTCCAGTTCACCTCCTGAAGAAAGTGCACCAAAAATGTATGGGAACCACAGATAAAATTGGCACATTATGTGCATGTATGAATATACCGCAGTGAATCCCACTTTGATGTCTGTCTATAGTGCACCAATTTTAAATACAACAAATTAACAGAAGGAAGACCAATAAAGTAGAGAAAGGGGACCAAGGGAAGGGAAAGGCTAAGTACTGGAAATTGAAATGGAGCAAATTATATGACATGCTTGTATGAATATGTCAAAATGTACCCTACTATTATGTGTAACTATAATGCAGCAAGAAAAACATGAAAAAAGGAAAAAAAGAAAGAAAGAAAAACACTTGGGTCTATGCTCTGATTTAGTCCATGCCAAATATATTATACTTAAGCCAAATTTGACAAAGTCCTGCGAAGGCAGTGCCTCCACTTACCTGTCACCAGGACGGCCTTTTGATCCACAGGTAACAACTCTTGGCTCGGTGAGCGCATATACAAAAGGAAACATGACAGGGAGAAAAGAAGCAAGATCCAGAAGAGGGACAGTCTGAGCAGGCAAATCCCTCCCCAGAGGGCTGCGAGGCAGATCGCTTGGCTTCCCAGCTGCCCAGGGCTCTTGTATTTGCAAACAGCTATGCTTCCCACACCTGCAGTGACAGCCAGGCACAGCCACACCGCCTCTGAGAAAGGCATGCTCATTCTCCACGACTCACTGCACTTTCACGCACTCAGGGACAGCAAGCCTAGTGGGCAAAGGCTAGCAGGAGGCAGCTGGGGTTATATGAATGGAGAGGAGAGAAGGGGGGCGGACACAGGCTCAGCACCCTTTGAATGAGCATGGATTAAGTGTAATCACCCAGACACATATTCCCACTGGCTAAGTTAAACCCGTGTGCATTGCAATATAAATACCAGGGCCCTTCCTCTTTGATCAGGCCCCCCCTCCCGCCCTTCTGTGCACACAAAACACACACACACACACACACACACACACCCCACGCTCTCCCAGAGACAAACATGCACATTTGATTATTTTAATGATGGTTCCACCTCTGGAAAGATGATTAGTTGGATAATAATTGACAGACTTGGAACGGAACAGAAACTAACAAGCCCTCCGGTTCACAGGGGCATAGTCTCTTATCCTTTGAGAGCTCACAGTGAGTCAGTCTCCGAGTCCCTTTTCTGACTCAGGAGAGTGTGTGTGTGTGTGTGTAAACCCGAGCAGTCAGTGAGATTTGGAAGGTGGATCGTGGTCGGGGGAGGCAACCCTGATCTGGCCCATGTCCACGGGACTCCTGCCTCTGATAACTCAAGAGGCTTCAGGGCTGGACGGAGGAGAGGGGATCCAGAGGAAGAGAGTCCTCAGTCTTCCCGCAGGGGAGTTATGACAGGGAGAAATGAGAACAATGACAACAGAACTGAGCACAGTCAGCACTGGTGCTTCATTGTGACAGGGCTGTGCTCAGCTACTCCACTCATTCATCCTCTTTATTGAGAGGCTCCTATGCCACGCTCTGTTCCGGGCAGGGGGGCTCAGCAGTCAACATGCTCAGTCTCTCTGAATACAAAAGCCTTATAACAGATTCTGTTATTGTAGCAGTTTTGGAAGAAGCTAGAGCACAGAGAGATCAAGAGATATACCCCAGATCACACAGCCTTGGAGCCAATCAGCCTCATCTCAGCACTTTAAAGCCTTAACTATTCCACTGCCCACTTTGGGTTAGAAATGGAACACAATCGGCAGGTTCATAATCTTGCTCTTTCCTGCTGCTGCCTCATCTGCACTTTAGGAAATACTTTAAGGTAGTTCTTTAAGATAGAAATCAACATTCTCAGTTTTTAAAAGGGAAAATTCAGTCTGGAGAGGCTAAACCACACTTAGCCAAGACTGGTGAATCCAGACCCATACTCACATTTCACCAGCTCAAAAGCCATGATGTGGCTGCCGCTCCATGCAGGTCACAGCGCAAGGCTGATGGCCCCAGGGGGAGCCGTTCCCCTGGACAAGGTGGGCCTTGACCTTGCCACACTTTCCTGGGAAGGGTTTAGAATTCTAATAAAGTCCTGGTGTTGGGGGAGCCTGAGAGACAGAAGAGCTCGCACTCTGAGTTCAGATTGCCAGAATGAAAAGCCGGACTTCGCTCCCGGCTCATTAACCAGGTAGTCTGGTGGGGGTCACTTCATCCTGGGGTCTCATTCTACCTGGAATGAGACTAGAAAGAGCCTCTCAAATGCTAGTGGTTTGCTTTTTACAAATAAGAAAGAAAAATCAAGAGGAGGTCATGTAGTGTCCAATAGGACAGAGTGGAATTGTCCTGACCACGGGCTCCTCCAGGAGTGGCGGGGAGAAGCCAGCTGCTGCGGCTGCCGTGGGGGAGGCAAGGTCGGCGCAGGGTGAGAGGACGGCTCAGCTGTAAGGGGGCCGAGGCCAGGTCAACCTGGCTTAGGCTACCTCAAGACCCAAGGGAGAGGGGTGGGAAGCAGCAGCCTGTGAGCTACCCCTGCTGTGAGCTGTGTGATCTTAGAACCCTCGGGAGGTGGCAACTCACATCTGCCCTCCCAGCTTCGCGGGTACCTTGGTAGGAAGGTTTTGCCAACTCCAAGCCAGAAAGCTTCAGCCTAAGGATCTGGGGTTCTCTTTGGCTAGCCTTGGACTCTCCCTCTCTCCCTCCACAGACCCCACTTCTGCTGTTGACTGTGCCACCGAGGGCCAGGGCACCTTTCACGGGTCTTGTGCCCTCACGAGCCAGGAGGATTCTGTTGTCAGATCCAATGGACAAATGCCTTCCCTCGTGGACATGCCGGACAAGTCGCAGCCCTTTACAGGGGCTTTGGCACTTTGTCATCGACCCCCACATCTGGGCTGGGCCAAACATATCTGTGTAAGTTTCCTGACGGGTGCCCACCCACCTGAGACCAGGTGACTCTTCTCTGGGAGGCAGCCAGGTGGCTCTCCGGCTGGAAGCCCAGTCCTACAGCAGCCCTCGTGCGACACGGAAGCCTAGGTGAGGGTGTCCCTGACCCTGCTGAGTTGGAAGCCTGGCTCCACCACTTGCTGGCTGTGAGGCGTTGGGCAAGTTAACTGCCCTCCCTGAGCCTCAGTTTCCCCATCGGTCAAAGGGGGGATGGAGACAAGTCCTGCTCCCTGGGTTGTTCACAAAGCAAACCACTCAGTTCCTGCAGGGCTCCTGGCACAGACAGGTAGTCATAAAGGGAAGCCACTTTCCTCGTTGTCAGCAGAGCTTAGAAGTTAAAAGAAGTTGGAGTTAGAAGAAGGGACACCCTTGCCCGTCTCTTCCCTAGTCACTAGTTCTCCATTCCGGCCATCCCTCAGCTCATCCCCTTGGGTCCTTCAGACTTCCGCTTGATGTCACCTCTTCACCACCCACTCTGTGCCCACACCTGATCCAGCTGCTTCATGACACTTAGCCCAAAGTACAATTACGGACTCCATTAGTTCATTCAAGGAAAGCGCTCTGTCACTTCTTCTAGACAGTGGACTTCCTGAGGGCGAGGCCCTTGTCTCAGTTGTCCCCATTGTTGTTTTCCCCCCCCCCGCTCAAGTGCCTGGTACACTTGTGTACCAAATCATAAGTGGCCTCAGGGAGGAGCGAGTCTCTACTGAGTGCCTTCTAGGTGTCTGGCTCTGCACCAGCCCGGGTGGAATTCAGTGGGGAACCATAGGGACCCAGCTCCTGACCTGCAGAGCCAATGACCAGAGCTCTCGGGAGGCTGCCGTGGTGGGGGTGAAAAGGAAGGCTCTCTACCAACCAGGGTGCAGGTGGAATTGCAGCATTTCCAGGCTGAAAACTCTCCCAACCCCTTCTGAGCCCTGAATTCCCTGAGAGCTGCTCTTGGTCTGGATGAAGACTCCTCCACCCAGCTGGTGGAAGCCTGTCTTCTTTTTGTCCCCATCATTTTGTCCTGAAGCTAGATCCTCAAGGACATCCGTGCTTGGCTGGTGCCCTGTGCCTGTCAAGCCTGAGTGCAGCTTTCCAAGAAAGAGAACAATTGGATGAATTATTGCTATTGACGCCAGTGTGTTGGTGTGCTAGGTCCTTCTGCCAGAGGAGGGGGGGCCTCTTTGAAAACAAGACAGTCTTACCAAAGGCAAGGATTTCTCAATCTGGGCAAAAGAAAAGAAGAGAAAAATATTGCTGAGAATCCTCAAATGTACACTTTCTTAGAATAAGTGACTCAAGTTTAGACTGGAATTTGAAGAAGTAACTTCCCATCTAGAGTGGGGAATTCTCTCAGTAACATCCCCACCAAGTGGTCATCCTCACTATTGCCTGAGAACAGGCCCTTCACTGCCCCTGCAGGCTGCGTATCCAGGTCCCAGTGGCTCAGGGTGACACAACATTCCCCTCTAGGCTCAACTCAGCCTTGGCCTTTGTCTTCCTTTCCCACTTGGAGACACACAGAGGATGGCTGGTTCTATTGTTCTCAGGTATTTGAAGACTGCTCTCATGTCTTACCTTCTCCAGGCTGATGGTCCCTGGTTCTCTCAAATGTCCCTGGCACACAGTAGAATATGTCTTACCTTGTGCTAAATTCTTTTAAAAATTATGTTGTTGCAATAACTGAAGAATATTTTGTTATGGTGCATGTGTAGCATGGCACGATTCAGCAAGCAGAGAACAGCCACATGTTGGTGTTAAAGTTCAAGACATGAACAGATCGGTACAGGTCATAGCCGATAATCTCAGGGACATTGGGAAGATGTTACCAGTGATGCACATTTGTATTGGTTTCATTGAATGCTTGGGTAATAATTAATATTTTAAGTATACAATTGTAATTGAGCAAATATTAAGCATTTCTTTCATACAGTGAAAGGGACAATCACATGCAGTGGACAACCAGAAATTGGAGCTGGATCAAGTCTTTTTTTTCCCCCTGTTCTTGCAACACTGTGTAGTGAAGATGTCTAAACTCCACAATTATCATTAATTGCAATCTCATTTATCGTAGGACATAATTCACGTTTCTTTAGCAACATGACCCTTCACAGAATGGCAGCTATCCAGCTGCTAATTCCCYCTGAAAGACTCGACCCAGAACTGGACACAATAATTTTAGGACAGTGCAAACATCACAGAATAGAATCAGATTATCACATCCCCATCCTGAAGCTATGTTTTCCTTTACGCGTCCAAAGAATCATTTGCCCTTTTGACAGTAATGCCCTATTGGCTCCATAATAGAAGTTTATCAAATAAAATTCCAGATTTTGTAGGTATTTCATTTTAGCTTTTTATTTTAAACTAAAATACATGTGAAGAATTGTCCAAAACATAACTCTAAATAAATTTCCATGAGTCCATACTGATATAAATAAGTAGTGGGGGGAAGCAGAGAGAACTTTATAAAATTCCAACATGACAATCTTCTTCTCAGCCAGATTGGCTTATTTACATTTAATGCAAATATTGATGTGTTTCATTTAAATCTGTCTGGTCTAATTTCTAAGTCTCTGATTCATTTCCATTTCATTGTTATGCAGCATGAGAGATAAGGGTCCAGTTTTCCCAGCACCATTTGTTAAAAAGGCTGTCTTCTCTCCAACATATATTTTTGGCACCTTTGTTAAGTATCGGGTGGCTGTAGGCATGTGGATTTTTCTCTGTGTCTGGTATTCTGTTCCACTGGTCTTCGGGTCTATTTGGTGCCAACACATAGGCTGGGTTTGTTGTACAGTTCTATAGTATAATTTCAGGTCAGTTATTGTGATGCCTCCTGCTTCGCTTTTCTTGCTTAGTATTGCTTTGGCTATTCTCTTATTCTTCTGAATGAATTTAAGAATTGCTTTTCTAGTTTTGTGAAGAATGTCATTAGTATTTTGATGGGG